TAACAATATTATTATAGAAGCAAACAGCAAAATTAATAAGTTAATGCAAATGCAGATGCAAATACAAATATAAACAAGATGTTAATTCCCAAATGTGACCACCATAGAACAACCTTCATTTGACCATAAGCACTCTTTACACTAGATAGAGGAAATTTATTACCCTCATTTACTCAATCTAGGCCTTTCTCACAATTTGTTATTGATTTCATAGTCATTGTTGGACTTCTCAAAGTGTCGATCTGCCTATCTTCGTTTTAATTTACCCACTGTGATTATTGGATCTCTAGCCCTCCATTTTCGTGGGATTCTCCAAGAGGAAAACGACCTTGATATCTCATGAATGATCTTATCATTCTTGACTCAACTAGCATTTGACTATTTGGTACTATATTGATCTTTGTTCATTTAACAGGAGTCTTCGATCGACTTTGAGCTTTTCTCTCGTCGCTCAACTTTGTTTGTGAGTCATCGCTCTTATAGATTTGACTACCTAGTTATGGGAATCTTATGTCGATATGAAAACCTTCTAATTTGGTCAATCACTTGTGAATTAACACCTTGTTTGGTTATGATGTGAAAATGCAAATGCAAACAAAAGACAGAGAAAAATAAGATAAAACAAAAGGAATTGTTAGTGACATTCAACCAAAAAAGCAGAAAAATATTTACGAAAAGAAAAGATCCTACCCAACATGGTATTTACCCTGACATGTGTTTATAACAGTCCTGCCCAGACATGTTTTCTACCCCCATGCTTTGCTCAACATATAAATCATAACCTTATGTCATCTAGTTCACATGCTTCCTATGAAAATATAAAACCTAACCGCATTCTCTTCTAGTTCACATGTTTTTTGCAAAATAAATATACAACTAAATAAGTAAATTTGAGGAAAGTTTAGAGTGAGTTTCCCCTTTGTGACTTTTGAAGAACCACAGACAAAATTTTGGTACAAAACAACCTCGATACTACTAAAAGGGTCTTCAAATTGTCCTTTACTGGTGCCCCCTTGGGCCTGCCAAACCTTCGATCCTTACCTATTATAGGCTTAAATGGGTTGAGTTCAATTCGAGAGGATGCATTTCCTTATGTTCGTGCGAGGAAACTTAATGTTTCACTCATAAATACAAGGCATATGTACCCCAGAGGTTACTTGCTAAAGCCCATACGAAGAAAAATAATTTTTCTCACGTAAGCGTAGCGTTCACCCCTACTTAACGGGACAGAGCACAATTAGAAGTCTCTAAATATTCATGGGTTTAGCATGTGTGAAAGGAAACTCACAATCCTTTGCCTCAATCCAAAAATAAACAAACTAAAAAAATGTCAGAATCTGAAACAGTGGAAATCACACATTAGAATCATTAATAAATAATAGTAAAAAAGATGCATGACATGATGCTATGAGAACAAAAAATAAGGATCAAAATTTAAATATCATTCAAATTTACCAATTTCAACTAAAAGATAACGTATAATCGATTACGTCATGACTCTCTAATGTCCCCAACAGAGTCGTCAAGCTGTCGGAATGGTCCTTAAGCTTTTTAGGGGTATGGAGGGGAGTTATCCAACTTAATTTTGGAAAAGATTGGTTTTTTTAAACAAATAAATTTTGGAATCACCATCTACCTTTGGGTTAGGTAGGTCGAATACCTGAAAAATATCTTTTAAAATGATTTTAAGAAAAACAATTTTAAAAGATAAAAATTGATCTGCGTTTAACCATAAACTCGTTTTGAAAAGGGTTCGGGAGTCGATTACGCGTGGGGAAGGACTAACACCCCCACAACGCCCGAAATTGGTACCTAAACGATTATACATCATCTAAATGTTGAAATTGGTAAACTTGAATATAAATTTAAATTATGATCCTACTTAAAGAAATTTCGAAAAGGGAATTATTTTGTATGGACAACTCTCAAAAACACTCCTTTTCAGTTAAGGCGCGTTTTGATGGATTTCCATAGAAATGGTTGTTACCCTATTTTTTCTCTAAAAAACATATATTTAGTACACTAAAAAATTATTTGTACGTTGAAAGGAATATCATTTAGTACGGGCAATCCTCGAAAACACACTCCTAGTCAATTAAGGCATGTATTCATGGGTTCCCCTCACAAAGTAATACTACCTCAAAGATGCTTACGATCAGGTCTAACGAAATATATTTAACGCTAAGTATGCTAAAATCAAAAATACAATTTTAATTAAAACTAACAATCAGGGTAAAATTTTAACAAACTAATTAACAACAAGGTTAATCAATAAAATAATAAATCTAAGGACTAAATTAAAGTTAACAACAAAATTCAAGGACCAAATTTAAAAAAACAGAATGGGGACCAAATTAAAAACTCGCTGAAATATAGCATACAATTCGAGAATTTAAACAGTGACCTTAGTGTATCTGCGCGCTGAAATTAAGAGGGCCAAAGCATAATTTTTCAATTATTTAATTCAGTGAATGTTAATAAAAAGAAAATGAAAATGTACTCATTCAATACCTTGAATTCGAAGCAAGAATAAAAAAGAACTATGATTGGTGGCTACTTTGCAAAAACACGGAAATACTAAAGGGAGTAAAACACAATTTCCACTTTTCTAATCATTGTAATTACCAAGAAAATAAAAAATGGAAAATAACACAAGTTGGTATTGCAATCTAAGAGAACTTCAAAATTAACCAGTGATTGCAATATAAATAAGCGTTAAACCTATAGGGACTAAAATATGATTTTTACCTTGAAGTTTTAATGGTTAAAAGTAAATACACCGCAAGAGTTCGAGGGTCTAAACGAAATTATCCCTAAATCTCTAAGAAGATTAAAGAACAAATAATAAAATGAAAAATCATGCAATTATGACGCAATAATTCAAAATAGAACAAACAAGCACAAGACTAGGGACCGTTTTGTAAAAACACGATAGCTTTTAGAGGGTTTAAGAGCAAATAACCTTAAAAATTACACTATATAAGATACCATTTTTTGTTTTAAACCATTTTTCATTCTAAAGCCTTAAAAATAAACTCTCTCTCTCAACTCTCCCTACCTTGAAGCTTCACCTCGACGCTGGGAACTTAGATTTGGCCCTAGTTTTGCGAGACACGACCTTCAGCTCCACGAGAACGCCATGAAACCTTTCAATTTTCACTCTATGATCTACGTCGTCGAACTGTTGGATGGGTCCATTTCAAATTATGTTCTTCTCTATAAAAGGGTTACTTATCGTTTGAATGTGAGAAAGAGGGTTTCGATCACCGAGAAACACCAACGGCCGAAGGTAATGTTCTCCTCCTTTTCTTTTCGTTGATTTTTTTTGCCTCCTCTAATTTTGATTTCCTTTTTGTTTTTTTTACCTTTGCATCCCGACGTTGCGAATCATCACCGACCGTCACGAGCAGTCAACAATAAAGGGTAAACATTCTTTTTCTCTCTCTCTTTTGTTTCGGTTTTAAACCTCGCATGCACATACAAAACAAAACTGAAAAAAAACTCGAAAATATCTTTGAAAATGCTTCTGCTTTTCATTCGAAATAGGAAGACCCCTTTTGTTACATGGTTTTTGTATATCATCAATAGAAAAGCCCCATGTTTACATCGTTCTCTATGGGTTTAATACCCGTTTACAAAAAGTTTTTTCCCAAAAAAATTATCTTTTACCAACGTTTTCGTCTTTTACATTTGTTTTTCCTTTTTCATTTTTCAGTTTACAGCAGAGGAAAAAAGTAGAACTCTAATTTTTTTCTTTGTGTGTTATCTTTCTTTGCTGGGGCGGATTTAGTACTGCTCCGAGGAGGATTTGGTGCTGCTGGTGGTATGGTGTCAGATTGCCATGGGGAACCAGTCCGGGGGCATCGGGGACCATTGGATCAGATTTGATCCAATGGCTGTGGGTGTACAGCGGCGCTAAGAACCTTAGGGTCAAAACTCTAATCGGGTTTGGGCTTCCAAATATGGGCTGGTCTCAATTGGGCTCGGATGTTGGGTCATTTGTTGGGTCTTTGTAACTTAGTTTGGATCTCTATTGGGTTCGATTTGTAATCTGAATAATAATCCGAACAAAAATAGTTGTCTACACTTTGTATATTATCAACCGTAACTTCTTGTTACAACCTCAGAAGATTTGTAAATATCCATTTTTGCAGAAATGCAACCGTAGGTTTGGAATTTTACCTAACCTGAGTTAGTTTGATGCAACATGTAACATGTTGCATAGGTCACGAGTGGAACTTAATTTCCGTAAGGTATACTAGGACTGATATACCAAAATCATTGTTGCATATTCAGTTCCTGGTGCATCTGTTATTAGGGTAATAAATGAGACGATGCAGATCAGGAGTTATTTTCGATTAAAATTAATTTATATTTTAAATAAAATAGATTGTATTTGAGCTCGCAATCAACTTAAATTTTTAACAAGCCGAAACGAATTACTTCATACGCAGTTCAAAAAGCTCGCAAACAACTCAAAAAATAATATATTAAAATTTTAAATTTTAAAATTAAATTATTAATAATATTAATATTTATATGTTATTTTAAAAAATACGATATAAAACTTTTATATATTTAAAGTTTAAGTTTGAGCTCGAATTTGAGCTTCAATCGAGATAAGTCTGAAAATATTTCAAGTTCAAATTTTTTCGAACTCAAATCATGTTTCAATTTTTTATTTCGAGTCGAGCTTGAAAATTTTAAACTCACAAACTTTCGAGTCGAGCTTCAATTTTTTATTTCGAGCTTGAATTGAACTTCACAATTTCAAACTCCTGAATTTTTTAACCGAACTCAGTTTTATACTTTTTCGAGTCTCGTCAAACTCAATTTTACATCTTTCGAGTCAAATCGTGCTCTTCAATACTCAAGCTCCACCTGATACCACAGGTTTTTTATCTATCCAATAAGTTTTAATAATATAAAAACCACCTTTAATTAACTAAAAGTTAATATAATCCATAATACCAGCTTAAAAAAAAACTATTGAAACAAACATTACAACCTTATCCAAACCACCCCTACATTTGTGTAATTAAACAGTATAGCTTCAATGACCATTTGGTTGATTCTTTCATCATTCAATCAATTAGCTCAAATCAAAATGTAAACTTGGTTGAATACGAATATGAGACTTATATTCTTCTGGTTCTGACATGGCTAGGAGTTTAAGACTACTTATTCTTCTAGGCGAGCCACTTCTTTTTCCCATTTCAGTCCGAACATCTGACGGCCGAAAGGAACTATCAAATTATACCGGAAAACCTGCAATCCGAACATATACATTTTCTTGAGACACATAACTAAGCCTAACATACAAAAGAATCGAATCGTTTTTAAGAGAGGTTCACCTTATTGTTAATGTCACGTAATTGCATCTTTAATGATTCACAACGCTCGGCCCATTTTTCATCATCTCCGTTGCATTTGCTTGTCCATGCTTTCTCCAAGGCAACTCGCCATTCGGATACTTGGCCCCTGATCTCCTTGTTAAGTTCTACCCACTCGGGCGTGCATCCATTCTTCGAGAGAATCCTATATAGGGTGTCTTCTGCTGGATCTGCATGAGGATTTGTGTTGAGGTTAAGAGGTTTGCCTTTTCCTGGTAAATTCTCGAACTGGCCCTCTTCCATTGAATGCCATATTCTTTGCTCAACTACATTGATGATATCGGTTTCCGACCTATTCAAAATGATCACATGAAAGAACATCTCAATAAAGAAGCCAACAACGTTAGTGCCCTAAAAAGGCAGATATCAAATTGGAAACAATCTTGAAAATATTAATATTTTTACTCTGAAAGTGAATCATTCAATTCAGTTAAAGCATCGGTATGCATAGGTTCTAAAGTCTTTCTCCAGATTAACAATGGTAGCATTAACACCATAGCCACCTTCTTTCAAAAGCATATCACAGACCAAATTCAAAAGTTTTTAACAGGGATTTAAATTGCGATTGTGGCCATGTTTTCGGTTGTATTGCATTTATCACGATTGCAACATAACAGCTACTATTGCAGTCACTGCGGGCACAGCTGTCGTACAATATCAGTTTCGGACAGCACTGTTATTTCCTGGTTTAATTAAACTTTAAGTTTAATTAATATCCAGCTCAGCTGGTAGAGCACAAGGCTCTTAACTTGAGGTCCCACGGAGGGCATTTCATAACTTAGAGGTCTCTTGCTCAAAAACCTGATGTTGGCGACAACCTACTGTACAACCTCCCCTTACCCCATTACATATAATGACAATAAGGGTCAAATTTCTTAGTTAATATCCATTTCTACAAGGAAGATGACCTACAAAGCCTAACCTAATTGCATTAGCCTATTTCAAGGTAACCTGAATTAGTGATCAACAAAAGATTAAGCTTCAAATTAAATCAAAATCCAAAAGTAGGCAAGGATTGAAAATAAAGGAAAGCAAGTTACAAGCATTTATTTGTAAATTAGTCGATTCCGAAGCATACTTTCAAATTGCAAAAATTAAAAATTTCCCTTGCTCCCCAACCAAAATTTTATCATTTAGTGTGGAAGGATCATGAAGAATTCAAAATAATTTAGGGTAAGTATGAAAAATTCTCGTAATTAATTAAAATTCTGAGAATATGACAAGTTTTAGTTGGAAATTGAGTTTTATAATCTGATATGACGAAAAATACAAATAAACTAAATAACACATACATACCTGACGTTGTTGCGTTGGCCACGTAGCTCGGGAGGAAGTTTCCGGTCGTTGACGGCGTCTATAACGGCTGATAGACGGTCAGATATCTTCTTCTCCCGCTTAGATGATGAAGAATTTGAACACGTCGTGGCTGTCGATGACGAAGACAAAGAGGAGGCCCACCTGAAACCGGATCCGCCATGGCTCATCAACGATGATAAGATTCCATCCGTCAATTTGGTAATCGGAGATGAAGAAAATACCGACAACGGTGAAGGCAGCTTTCTCGCTAGCCGAGTGGTCATGGATGATTGAAGCCCAGATGGTCCGATTGGAACTGGGGAGTGTTCTAGCGATTTTTTTATTATAATTATAATTATTTTTATTTTTTATTGTGTTCTAGCGAATTACTCCCTCATTAGGTATGCACCACCTACTAATATTTTAGCTATTTTAGTTTTGATATTTTAATTTTTAATAGGGTTATTAACGCTTTGAATCCTCTAAAATTGGTAAATTTTGTTTGAAAAAAATGATATACATATGTATTATGTGTATGACATTAATAATACATATCGATGTATGGTAGATTTTATACTCATTCTCTATTTAGAATCAATTTAGTACTTGCAATATATAAACAATATTCAACAATGTTGAAAATGTAAGCATCTATTTTTATTTATGTAGAAGATTCAGAAGAAACTTATTATGGATTTTTTTTAAAAGTAAATAATTATTTTATATTAAAAAATAGATGAAAAAGGTATAAAGCAAAATTCTATTAAAATTAAAATTTAATTTCTAACAGAGATAATCACCTTTTGCTCTTAAAATTTGTAGAATCTATTAAAAAAAGTGATACATATTAATATCTGAAATTGATAGTGCATATTAATGTAAACTCATCCTCATGGAAGTCTATAAAATTTCAAATAATTTTTACCTGAAAAGGTTATCATGATGAGATGAAAAAAATACTGAACTCACAAATAAAATTTTAATCATATAATTATATATTTAAAAATATAAATTTATAAATTATAAAATAATAAGATAACAAAAAAATTAAAACTATATCAACAACCATTTGATCTAGTGAGACAATGTACTAGATCCCTTAAGTTAGATCAGGAGTTCGAATCTTAACGTTTACGAATGAAACAAATTGTGTGGAGGTTTTCCCTTATCTCTGCAGTACCCAATACATATTAGTTGATAAATAAATCAGAAACATATAGTTATAAAAAAATTGAAACTATACTTTTAATTTCCAAAGTTCTATTCATACTTAAAAACTAAAATTTTAATTTTTGTATTTATTTTGAAAAATAAAAATGCAATTTTTCTTCAAAAGTAATATAATTATTACTATAGAAGTGATTTTCCCCTCAAAATATGATTTAAGGGTTACTTTAAGTGGTAAATAGTTAGATATTACTTAAATAAAATCTCGAATTTGAGTCCTTATGTATGAAAAACAAATTTTATTGAGAGATTCACCCACTAAAATTAAATTTGTAATGTGGGTCAGTCCGAACTAATCAAAACGAAACTTTTAACCGGTAGGGGAAAAAAGTTTATATGTAGCGCTAAACGTTTCTCATTAAAAACTCATGAACGTGACCCAATAAAATCCATTGGCAAATTACAAATCTAAGTTACAAGCATACACCGCCTACTAAGCATTTGGATGAAATCATCAGATCTTCATAATTAATTTCTCCCACTTTGCATCCAATTTGAGACTCCAAATCATTTATTTCCTCTTTACTCGGTCCAAAAACTCTCATATAGCAACTCCATAGAAAAGGGAGCAGGTAATAAAATAAACCCAACCAGCCACAAATAATCGAGTCTATAGTATACTAAAAGCACAAGCAATTTGTTTCTCTTTTCTACTGTGTTTTCACCATATCACAACTTTGACAGAAGGATTCCGTTCATAATAAACCGGCTGATTTAGAGCGGCTTTAAAGTCTTCCTCGTTCCTCCAGTCAGGAACCTACACATCCAAGACAAGATGTGAAAAGCAATCAGATGAAAATCAAAAGACCAAAGGACACTTGACTAGATGTGCGCCAGCACCACACAAAGGGAAGGCTTACCTCTGCTATTTTGTGCCAAAATGATTTTCGATTTTGGACATTATCGTTTGGTCCATATCACTACAGAGTAAGTTGAACATGGCTCCAGCAAACCAGACAGATATAACCCTGAATAATGTGTTCTTCAGCTAATGTTCTCAGACACAGAACAACGGTTGTATGCCATCAATACAAAACATTGGGATATCCAGCTAACAGCCAGGTTTATCAGGCAGCAGGAAGCAATTCTTGACATCCTAATAACAGATGAAAATAAGCTCAATTCCAGCATCATCCTTTAAAGTGAAATGACATTTTCATTCGGAAACATACCCTTGCGGCCAAAACGACCTGCTCTGCCAATTCTATGCAAGTAAACCTCACAATTAGGCTCCATACAGTTGTCATGTTTCACAGGAGGATCATAGTTGATTACCAAATTAACCTGCAGAAATATAAAATATCAGGATGATACACCTTGTAGATAGTAAGATAACTTGGGAGTAAGGGAGAGAGATACCTGTTTCTGGTCAAAACCACAGGCGAGAAGGTCCGTTGAAATGAGGACTTGAGTCAAACCATCTTTAAACTCTTTGACTATCTTGTCTCGATCAGCTTGATTGAAAGCACCTTGAATTGTGGTAACATCAGTGGTAACATCATAACCAAGCTCAACAAGTGATTTATGCAATGTACTAGCCTGTTCCTTGTGCGTACAATTATTATCGTCTGCCCTAGGCGTTCTCCAAATTCAAATCTCTCTTATTCACCATAACCTTGGAAAGTTCATCTGGAACATTCACCTTGTACTGCTTCACTGACTCCAATGATAGCTCTTCCTTCTTGACAAAAAGTTGATTATGATCTCTCTTGACTATCTTTGATACAAAATTCTTTACAGTCTCGCTAAATGTGGCAGAGAACAAGAGAACCTTGAAATTTGTTCAAAAAAGGTATTCAATCAGTCAACGGTCCCTAATATTAAGCATGCAAAAAAATGAAAGAAAGAAAATGTATGCATCATTCATTTTCCCCAACTAAGCATGCAACTAACTTGTGTGAGAAGCCCTCTTTTCTTACCCCATACAGGCATGGGTATTCTTCAAAAATAGGATATCTATCCAACCGGCAGAACTATTCATTTCAACCATGTCCAAGAATAGGCTTCTTTTATAATAGTACATTGAACCGCCAGTTTTAGTCATTGTTTAATGATATCGGGCACTTCATTTATCTGAATTGATAAAGCAACTATAAGGGGCATTATCAGGATAAAGAACTGTTAAGATACTGTATAGAAAATATTGATAAAGTATAAAATCTATCCAACAGTCACCAGATAAAGAAAATTAAAGACAGTACATAGAAAAAGGTTGGCATGATCTGATATCCCACATCCAAATAAATTTACAGCACATCTTTAATATACAAACTTGTAGTGAGAACTCATTCTTTGAATATCCCTCATTATTCTCAAGGAGTCATCTTTAAATCCATCCTGCACAAAAGAAACGTACATGAGCAAATCAATGATCTGCAGCAGATACCTCTAACCATGAAATCTAGTGAAGCTGTTAGATCATATGATCACACTAGACACTACAAAATTAGAAGAGGTCCATCCTTCCAAATCATTCCAATGCTCCCTCACAAACACTTCCCAGAAAAGAGAATTTGTAAGGGGGTTCATTTTGGCTTTATCAGATTTGCTTCATTAGAAGAAGCCAAGAAAGCAATTTTTAGTATGGTGTTATGGTCGGAGGAGAAGAAGAACGGCGAAGAGAAGAAGAACGGCGAGGAGAGAAGAGATTGGGAATGGACGAGAGAGGGGAGGAATTGGGGATGGTTGCTCGAGGATTAGGGATTGAAAATTGGGAATTGGGAATTAAATCAAAATAGGGTCAGATGATTAAGTTACCTGACGAGATGGAGCAGGCTGAGTTGGAGCAGTCCAGAAGCACAATGGAGCGGCCCAGATCAGATGGCCCAATGCAGGCTGAGAAGAGAAATGATACAAATCAAGTCTGTTAGCAATCTGTTAGTATTAATGCCAGCTGGCAGGATTTAGATTCCCAGTACTATTTTTGTAACTAAATAAAAAACCCTGCTTGTAGTCATTTATGCTCAGAAAATGAATGAATGAACTTTTCTTCTCTCTGAATCCTCTCCTATTCTCTCATCTTTCTCTCGAATTCTTCTCTATTTCTCTTCAATCTATAACAAATTGGTAATCAGAGCTACGATTCTGGAAAGGGAAATTTTTTAAGGGCATGCCAAAGAAGAATCAATCTATGGCAGAAACTGATTTAGCTGGGATCAAAACATATTGAGGACCTAGCTGCGTGGTGAAACAAGGCCAAAATGAGCAAATCCACCTAAATGGTGGGAGACTCAGGAAAACAGGATTACTGCACTGGAGGCAATGATGAACACGAATCATGGCTATGGAGGATTTTGAAGATCTTAACGGGCAGAAATGGTGAATAAGAGCAATCTACAGGTGATCAGGTATACACTCCTAATAGCTCTTAAAATAGGGAGAAAATCATGTTTTGGTGACTGTAGTGAAGGATAACTCACGATTCAACTATAAAACGGATGAACCTGGAATTTTGAAGGATAAGCCTGATGCTTGTTTAGCCATTAGGAACAGTGATAGGCCTGAGAATCAAATGGGGGAAAACAGTAACACTAGACCTGTTATGTGGGGACTAGAAGCTGAAAAAAGGGTACAGAGGGCTCATTTAACAATTCAGGAAGTATGTGGCACAGACCAAAAATAGAACTTCCTTTCTTTGAAGGAGTTAATCCTAGAGGGTGGATCCAAAAATGTTTGAAGTATTTTTCTATTTGCAGTGTGCCTATGGAACAAAGAGTGGAGGTAGCCACTATGTATTTAACTGGTAAAGCAGAAATATGGTTTGATGGGTATATAATGCAGAAACACCATGTCACTTGGCATGAATTTGAAGCTGATATCTGTCACATATTTAGTGATAGATCATTTTCTGATATTGTAGAGGAGTTTACTAAGTTGATACAGAAGGGGTCTATAGAGGATTATCAGGAGAAGTTTGAAGAGCTACAACCTTATATGCTTCTACAGAATCCTACTTTGACTGAAGAATTTTTTGTGTCACTCTTTATTAGTGGACTCAGGGATGATATTAAGCATAGGGTCAAAGCTTTGGATCCTAGGAATTTGTTTGAAGCATGTAAGCAAGCTAAGCTCTATGAATTGTCTATGGAGTTTGAGAACAGAAGGTTGAGACCTTCTTTTAAATTCCCACCCAACCCAAACCCCATCACTATTTTTAAATCAGTTTCATTGCTAGTAAATACAAAACCTACAGCAGTACCAAACTCTAAGCAGAATCTTATTGAGTATAGAAACAGAATAACCTCTGTTTTAAATGTGGAGAAAAATTCATTCTAGGTCATCAATGTAAAAACAGACAGCTAAATATGATTACTGAGGAAGTTGACACTTCCTCAGTAGAAATTTTTCCTACAGACTCAGATCAGTCTCCACAAGCAGAGAAAGAAACATTGGAAATATCTATGAATGCCATTACTGGCTCTATTGGTCATACTACACTGAGGATACAGGGAGCTATTCAGGGCAGACCATTGAATATTCTAATAGATAGTGGGAGTACACACAGTTTTTTACTCCTAAATGGGCTGATGCTGGTATCCAAATTACTACTCCTTATCCCTTGGCTATTACTGTGGCTAATGGTCAACAATTATTTAGTTCAGCTAGATGCAACAAAGTGGAATGCAAGCCAAGTTTATACATGATTTCAGAACTCCTAAATGGCTGATGCTGGTATCCAAATTACTACTCCTTATCCCTTGGCTATTACTGTGGCTAATGGTCAACAATTATTTAGTTCAGCTAGATGCAACAAAGTGGAATGGCAAATGCAAGGCCATACATTTATACATGATTTCAGATTGCTCAAGTTGGGAGGCAGTGACATGGTTTTAGGAGTGGATTGGATGAAGTTATTCAGTCCAATATTAATGGACTTCAATAGCATGACTTTAAGTTTTGACCATGGAGGGCAGCAAATTTGTATTCAGGAAAACCCTCTGAATTACAACAAATTTCAGGGGCTACATTACTTAAAATGAGTGCAGGGGATTCTCTCTTATGGGACATATGTCCTATGACTATGAAGGGCATTCTTCTTCAATTCCTACTGAAATCCAACACCTACTGGATAAATACAGACCAGTTTTTGCTGAACCTGTTGGTCTACCTCCCCAGAGGTCTCATGACCATGCTATTTCACTTAAACCTAATGCCACACCTGTTAATCTAAGACCTTATAGATTTCCTTATAATCAGAAGGCTGAGGTTGAGAAAACAGATAGCTATTATGCTTACTTCTTCTATTATTCACCTAGCAGGAGCCCCTTGCCTCTCATTGTCTTCTATTAAAAAGAAGGATGGCACTTGGAGATTTTGTGTAGACTATAGGCAACTCAACAGTCTGACTGTCAAGGACAAATTTCCTATTCCTATTGTGGAGGATTTATTAGATGATTGCATGGGGCAATTTATTTCTCAAAGATTGATTTGAGATCAGGTTACTGGAGATTCGAATTAACCCTGAAGATATTTACAAGACAGCCTTTAGAACACATCAAGGCCATTATGAGTTTAAGGTAATGCCTTTTGGCCTTACTAATGCTCCTGCTACCTTTCAAGCTCTTATGAATGATTTATTTAATTCATTCCTTAGGAAGTTTGTTTTAGTTTTCTTTGATGATATCTTGGTGTATAGCAGCAGTATGAAAGACCATGTTGAACATTTATAGTCAGTTTTGGAAGTTTTGCAAAAGAATCAATTTTTGCAAAATTGTCCAAGTGGTTTTTTTTGGGCACCAAGGTAGAATACCTTGGCCATATTATTTTCTGCTGTAGGGGTGTCTACTGATCCTAGTAAAGTGGAAGCAATGCAAATTGGCCTAAGCCTAAACCCTTAAATCTCTCAGAGGGTTTCTAGGCTGACAGGTTATTACAGAAGATATTAAGAATTATGGCATTATTAGCAGACCATTGACATTACACTGAAGAAAGATGGCTTTCAGTGGAATTCTGCTGCTCATACTGCTTTTGAAAATCTTAAGAAAGCTATGTGTTCTGCTCCATTTTAGCATTGCCTGATTTTTCTAAGACATTTTCTTTGGGAGACAGATGCTAGTTTGGGGGTATTGGGGTTGTTCTTTCACAGGAAGGTAGACCTACTGCTTATTTGAGTAAGCTTTAAGCCCTAGAGATTCAACACTATCATTTATGAAAGAGAATATCTTGCTATTCTCTTGGCGGTTTCTAAATGGAGACATTATTTTAAGAGCATGCCATTTGTTATTAAAACAGACCATGAGCCCTTACAGTTTCTTTTGGAGAAGAAGTTGGCTACTACTATTCAAAAGAAAGGGTTGATAAAGCTTTTGGGATTAGACTATACTATTCAGTATAGAAAAGGAAAATTAAATGTGGTTGCTGATGCTTTATCTAGAAGGTGGGAAGATCAAGCTCAATGTTTGACTATGGGAGTAACAATCTTAGTTCCTACTTGGGTTCAAGAGGTTGAAGACAGTTATCAAAATGACTCCCTGGCTCAGAATTGGATTTCAATTTTAACTGTTGATTCAGCTGCTGACAGTAAATGGAAATTTTCTAAGGCTATTCTTAGATATGATGGGAGAGTTTATATTGGATCTAATGGAAGCCTTAGAGTGAAGATCATACAGACTTTGCATGACTCTCCCCAAGGGGGACATTCAGGTATACAAGCTACCTATTACAGGATAAGGTCAATTTTTTATTGGCCAAGTCTTAAGTCTATGGTTATTTTCTTAGATGCTGTCAGACTTGCCAACTAAATAAAGTGGACATTGCAAAGCCTGGATTACTACAGCCATTGCCTATTCCTAATCAGGCTGGGAAATTATCACTATGGATTTCATTGAAGGATTACCTACTTCACTTAAGAAGAATTGTATATTGGTTATTGTGGATAAATTTACCAAATACAGTCATTTCCTATCACTATCTTATCCATATTCTACAGCAGAGGTAGCTAAACTCTACTTGGATAATGTGTATAAGTTGCATGGCCATTTCTTACAGAGACAGAACCTTTACTAGTATATTTTGGAAGGAACTGATGAAACATTTGGGTACTAAGACCCTTTTCAGTACTGCTTATCATCCTGAAACGGATGGACAAACATAAAGGGTTAATCAATGTCTAGAACAATATCTTAGAGGGCTGTTGTTTATCAGCCTAAGAAATGGGCTAAGTGGTTATCTCATGCAGAGTGGTGGTATAATACCACTTATCACACTGCCCTAAAAAGTAAACCTTTTCAGGCTTTGTATGGTTACAAACCACCTATCATGGTTTGGACCACAGATACTGCAATGCAATCAGTACAAGATATTATGACAAGTAGAGAGAATATCAGACCATTGGTCAAGCAACAGTTAGAATTAGCAAGCAACTGTATGAAGCAAACAAACAGATAAACAAATATCAGAAAGAGTTTTTCATGTGGGGGATATGGTTTACCTGAAACACATACAGATAGACTTCATTAGCCCTGCGAAAAAACCTAAAGTTAGCAGCTAAATATTTTGGGCCATATAAAGTCCTGGAAAAAATTGGTGAAGTGGCCTATCAATTACACTTACCAGATTCGTCAAGACTTCATCCAGTGTTCCATGTGAGCCTTCTGAGAAATTTATTGGGGATTCCTCTACTGTTGCAACGGACCCTCCTGCAATAGATGACGAGGGGCAGTTCAGAGTTCAACCTTTAAAAGTTTTGGCTAAGCGTATAGTGAATCGAAACAGTAAGCCAGTCACTCAACTTCTGGTTCGATGGGAGAATTTGGATGAATCAAATGACACATGGGAGGACTATACAGTTATGAAAGGTCAATTTCCTGGATTTGATCCTTGGGGACAAGGATCTTCTTGTGGGGTGGGTATTGTTATGGTCGAGGAGAAGAAGAACGGCGAAGAGAAGAAGAACGGTGAGGAGAGAAGAGATTGGGAATGGACGAGATAGGGGAGGAATTGGGGATGGTTGCTCGATGATTAGGGATTGAAAATTGTAAATTGGGAATTAAATCAAAAGAGGGTCAGATGATTAAGTTACCTGACAAGATGGAGCATGATGAGTTGGAGCAGTCCAGAAGCACAATGGAGCGGCCCAGATCAGATGGCCCAATGCAGGCTGAGAAGAGAAATGATACAAATCAAGTCTTTTAGCAATCTGTTAGTATTAATGCCAGCTGGCAGAATTTAGATTCCCAGTACTATTTTTGTAACTAAATAAAAAACCTTTCTTGTAGTCATTTATGCTCAGAAAATGAATGAATGAACTTTTCTTCTCTCTGAATCCTCTCCTATTCTCTCATCTTTCTCTCGAATTCTTCTCTATTTCTATTCAATCTATAACAAATGGATGGCTTTTCATTTTTGGTTGCAAGATTGGTGTTTCGATGGCAAAATATAATCCCATGCAATCCTTCTAGAGAAGAACTCCTCCATCATTTCAGCGGAAGGATAGGGAAGTGGCTGACAAGAAGAGTGACCTATCCTCGATAGAAGGGGTGGTTGATGAATATAAACTACGAGTGCTGGAAAATTGCCTTGTGTGTTGGTGTAGAAACTTTTTTCCCTTTCGAACCTTGCTAGACAAATGCATGAAAAAGGCCTTAATGGTTTTTCGTTGATGAAAGCTACTAGAAACGTTGTCTTATTGTGTTTTGAAAACTCGATGTTAATTAACAGAATAAAGGTCGAGAATTCGGAGTCTCTGGCAGTGTGGTTCGACAGGTTTGAATCATGGTAAAAAAACTTTGTGGTGGAGAGTCGCGTATTTGGTTGGTTTGCGAAGGGATTCCTTTTCATGCTTGGAGCTGGGATACCTTTACAAACATAACAACAAAGTGGGGGGAAATTATTGCTATAGACGAAAATTCACATTATCCTTCGTCCTTTGATCGGGCAAAAATCCAAATTTTCACAAATACCATCTCTAGAATTGACGAGGTAGTAGGATTGAAGGTTGAAGGCCAATCGTTTAAAGTTGGGAAAGAAGTTATACCTGGCGATGGAACCACTGGTTTGGTAAGATTAGTTTAGCTTCAAGGCCAAGTTTCAGTTTTGTAGTCTTCCTTACCTAGTGCCTTCGATCGATCAGATCAAAAATGTTATGGAGTCTCATGCCCTGGAAGACGGTCTCAATATAGGTCTATTGGTTTCTAATGGGGAAATAGGTGATCAATCAGGTTGCAAGGAGAGGGTCATGGGAAGGGCCCAAAGCTCGGGAAGAAAAAAAGACCTCGCGAATCTAAAAAGAGTAAGCAAAAGTCTGAGGTTGCTTAAGTGTCTTGGAGGAAGCTTGGCATTTGGCTTGTTAGCGGTTTTTGAAGGAATTTTAATAGATTGGATTGGGTTGATTCTCCAAATATGAAGAGGGGCCTCTTGGAGTCGGTTGTGTTTTTTTCACATTAATGGATTTGGGTGTTGCTTTAAGTTATTTTGGATTTTAGTGATGTGAGGCTCAAGATAGGTGTGAGTTAATATCAAATAGGGTTGTCCTTGTTTTATTTGGTTATTTGAGGGGGTTTCTTAGAGGTTTTCTGATTTTTCTTGATTTGGTGTATGTATCTTGATTAGTGTGTTTTTTACTCTAGGTTGTACTGGTTTGTTTATTTAATAAATCATGAGGTACCTTTTTTCCTTTCAATTTTTGTTGACATACGGTTTAGTATGTTGATGATTATGAAGAGTTTTTTTTAACGAGGCATCCGATTCTTATAAAAAAAACTTGCAAAAAAGCCCCCCTCTATCGTAATGAGACATGGGAACTGCAAATTCAAATTTCCATCAAAACAAAATGCAAATAAACCAGCAAAAAAAGGTTAGCTCACCCAGCATGTGATCAGCTTCATCAAACACAAGAATCTTCACATTACTCACACCCAATTTCTTTGCCGACATCCACTTCTTAATAGTGCTAGGAGTACCAATAACTACTTGAGCGGTAATAGGTGGCCGTTTATTTATGGGAATATAATTAGAACTATCCATTGGAATGGCACATTCTGATGTTATCCCAATATGCTTCCCCATCTTCATAAGAACTTCCAAATTCTACACGAAAAAAGAGCTAAATTCCATCATCAAAACTGAAACCCAGATTTCAATAAAACCTCAAAAATTAAACTTTCAGAAACTTAACCTGAATAGCCAATTCTCTCGTGGGACAAATATAAACTGCTGAGGAGCTTTTAGGTTCGGATCTACGCGAGATAGCATTCCAAGAGTAAAGCAATTGGTTTTCCCAGAACCATTATGAGCTTGAGCAATTAAATCCATGTAAGGAGGCGTCAAATCATTGGCAAACTAATAGCTTGAATTTTACTAGGCTTTTCAAATTTCATCTCAACTTATAACCCTTACAATAATTCAGGGGACAATTCAATTCCTCGAATGTAAATGTTGATGTGTACGGTGTATCCCCTGATGCAACTAAAAAAATAAACAAAAAACACGAGATTCAAAACCCTAAATCTCAGTCGAATTAAACAGACAAAAAAAGTTTAAAATATTCAGGTGCAGGGATCCGACGGCTTTGATGTTGGAGTCCTCAGGTTCATCGAGGAACTTTTGATCATTTTACTCTCGTCGATTGTTAGGTTCTCAACTCCCAGCTCCGGCGTACTTTTTTCATCCGACATTGAGGAAGCAATTGGTTCTTCTAAAGCATCGTCTTCCAAATCAGCCCATTGAACTGGGGCGTCGGCGGACATTTTGGTTTCTTGAGGTGCTGGTGCCTCGGTGGAGGTAGTGGTGGAAGTGGCGGCAGTTTCATCCATGAAGTAGTTGAAATGAATGGAAAAGGAGGGAAATGGTAAATCGATTTATTTTTTCTTATAGGAGGTGATTAGCGGGGAAAAACATTATATAGTGGTTTTGAATGACGGACCATTTAACCGACTTTTAGCTTGAGGTAAAACTATTTTCTAAATAGGTGTAATATAAGAAGGATTTAAACTATATTTAAAATTAATTTTAGATTTTATAAGTAAAATTTAAATTTAATCGGATAAAAAATTAACTAATTAAAGATAAAATTGGACTTTTGAATTTGGGATGAAAAGAAGAGATCTATATTGTAATTTTTTATTGAAAAAAATTATAGTTGATTTTATAAGATATTTAGTCGAGTTGGTGTGAGTTATTTTTGTAAAATAATAAAGTATATTTTCTCTTTTTTTTCTCACACTTTTCTCACAACCTTCTTCTCTCCTCTTTTTTTGTCATTGATAAAGGTCTCATCTTTTATCAATTTTATTCTTATATCCAAAATTTAAGGTAAGATTTATGGTCCAGGAATTATGAACTTCAAGATGAGTTTGTCACTTTCTCTAATAGTGTTCTCAAACTCTTTTCATATTTGAAATAATTTAAGTTCCAAGAGCTTCCTCTAATAATTTCTATCTAATAATTTTTGCAGGGATTGCTCCTCATTACGGACGAGCATATTGAAGACTACATAAGAAGACTTTTCAACTATGTATTTAGTTATTTATTTATTTATACAAGCATTGTATTTTATCTTTATTTTTAATTTTCTTCCTGCCAGAGGTCTTCCACGGAAGCTGCTCTCAATCCTGGCCGTTGGGGCAGCCTACTACCCTACCTCCCCCTTACCCATTGCATATGGGAATAGGTTTTGTTGTTGTTGTGTTGATTAGTAAGTTTTAATCATCATATTGATGTTAGAAATACTTTTGAGGCCAATGGTTAGTTAAGGAGTTAGAAGAGTCCTTCATGAGCAAAGGCAAACAAAAATTGGTCTTTAGTTGTATAAGAAATATTTTGGATTTCTTGTAGGATGAGTTATTAGTTGTCATGCAAAATTATTAGTTGTCATACAACTAATAATAGTTGTATAATGCATAATAATGGTTCATAATACATTGTAAGTTGGCAATAATAATGGTTCATAGTTGGCACTAATAATGGTTGAAAAGTGACATGGCAAAATCTCACATTTAGTCATTATAATTTAGGGTATTTTCAAGATTAGTCCTTAAAAGCTTCTACTATAAATACCCTAGCTCATTTAGCTTCAAAACCATCCCAAAGCATTCTAGCTTTCTTCTAATACTAGAGAGAATTTAGAGAGTTTCTTGAGAGTTGTTTTCTCATATTAAGAGAGAATTATCATTGTTTTCTCCTTGGTATATTGAGAGAAGTTGTAATTCCTATTTTCTCATAGTGAAATTCTTCTACTGTTGCCCGTGGTTTTTACCTATTATTTAGGGGTTTTCCACGTTAAATTTTGTGTCTTCTTTATCTTCATTTTTATTTTCTCAAATTATCAGTTACGATTTTTCTCTATCCGATAGCCGTCTTCCGCAATAATTGGTATCCGAGCCAGATTTGTGTGTGTAATATCTGCTTATTGTCTTTGTGGTTGCCACCAAAATGTGGATCCTCCAACATAAGAAAGTAAGAAGGTATTACACATTCTTTGAAGGTTCTAGAGAACTATTCACGATAGTGAAATAGTAGGAGCTATCCGTAATAGAAGCTATGGCAACGAAAATTGATATTGAAAATTTTAATGGGAGAAATTTCTCATTGTGGAAATTGAAGATGAAGGCCATCATGAGGAAAGACGGCTGTCTAGCAGCTATCAGTGAAAGACCGGTAGATTTCACAGACGAAAACAAATGGATCGAAATGGACGGGAGTTCTATGAAAAACTTTCATCTAGCATTAGCAGATGAAGTATTGTCAAGTATCGAGGAGAAGAAGACAGCTAAGGAGATATGGTATCATCTCACCAAATTGTACGAGGCCACATCGTTGCACAATAAAATTTTCCTTAAGAGGAAATTATACACTCTTCGGATGTCAGAATATACTTCAGTGACGGAGCACTTAAACACACTGAACACTTTATTTTCTCAGCTTACATCCTTAAGCTGTAAAATAGTAGAACAAGAATGTGCTGAAATTCTACTTTAAAGTCTACCGGATTCGTATGATCAACTCATCATCAACTTGACAAACAGTAATGTCACCAGTCTAGTCTTCGATGACGTTTGCAGTTGCTATTCTACAAGAAGAAAATTGGCGCAAGAACAAGGAAGACAGACAAGTAAATCTGCAACAAGTAGAAGCGTTGACAATGATGAGAGGGAGATCAATAGAACGTGGCCAAAGCAGCAGTTACAAACATAGTAGATCGAAGTCGAGAAGCAAGAAGAATTTAAAGTGCTACAACTGTGGAAAGAAGGGTCACTTGAAGAAGGATTGTTGGAGTCTAAATAAAAACTCCAATCCACAAGGTAATACTGCAAACACTTCAAATGATAGAGATGCTATGTTGTGAAGCATCAACCACCGTAGAAGGTAGAAAGAGATATGCAGACATATGGCTCATTGATTCGGGAGCAACATATCACATGACCTCAAGAAGAGAATGGTTCCATCATTATGAACCTGTCTCAGGAGGATCTGTGTATAGTTGCAATGATCATGCCTTAGAGATCATTGACGTGGGAACCATCAAATTGAAGATGTATGATAGAACAATTAAAGTTGTTCGAGATGTGCGCACGTGAAAAGCCTGAAGAAAAATTTATTATCCTACGGATTATTGGATAATAATGCAAGTAAGATTGAAACACGGAAAGGAATCATGAAGGTGTTCCGTGGAGCGCTTGTGGTGCTGAAAGGCAAAAAGATAGTTGTAAACTTGTACATGCTGAAGGGAGAAACTTTGCTAGAAGCAGAAGCCTCTGTTGTCTCATGTAGTTCAGATTCTGAAATGCTATGGCATCAGAAACTTGGACACATGTCAGAACAAGGAATGAAAGTCCTTGTGGAGAAAAAACTACTTCAGGCTTAACAAAGGTATCACTTCCTTTGTTTGAGCATTGCATAACAAGTAAGCAGCACCGGTTGAAATTCAACACGTCAAATTCTAGAGCCAAAAGTGTTCTAGAATTGGTTCACTCTTATGTATGGCAAGCACCAGTTACATCCCTAGGCGGAGCAAAATAATTTGTCTCATTTATTGATGACTACTCTAGGAGATGTTGGTGTATCCTATTAAGAAGAAGTCAGATGTGTTTTACACTTTCAAAAACTTCAAAGCGCGGGTGGAACTTGATTATGGAAATAAGATCAAGTGTTTTAGAACAGATAATGGAGGAGAATACACAAGTGAAGAATTTGATGACTTTTGCAGGAAAGAAGGCATCAAAAGACAGTTCACAATGGCAAACACTCCTCAACAAAATGGAGTGGAAAAGTGGATGAACATAACCTTGTTAGAAAGAACAAGAGCAATGTTGAGGGATGCAGACCTAGAAAAATCATTCTGGGCAGAAGCAGTCAATACCGCCTGTTATTTGGTGAATCGAGCTCCATCAACTGTAATAGAGTTGAAGACACCAATGGAGATGTGGACTGGTAAATCCAGCTGATTATTCAAACCTCCATGTATTTGGAAGTATTATGTACGTGATGTACAACTCCCAAGAAATTTCAAAGTTGGATCCAAAATCCAGGAAATGCAAATTCTTGGGGTATGTTGATGGAGTAAAGGGGTATCGCTTGTGGGATCCCACTGCCCGCAAAGTGATCATCAGCAGAGATGTTGTCTTTGTATAAGATAAACTACAAAGAAAAGAAGACGATGATAGCGCTGAAAAGTCAGAGACTACTCAGATAGAACCAGAGAGTTCTGAAGCCCCAACAACTCATCAATCAGATCGTGTGAGAAGACGTCCCAATTGGCACTTAGATTATGTTATAGAAGGTAATTTGCATACTGCCTTTTACAGAGGACGGTGAGCCATCAACATACCAGGAGGCAATAAACAGCTCAGATGCTTCACTGTGATGATGGCGGTGCGTGAGCCATCAACATACCAGGAGGCAATAACAGCTCAGATGCTTCACTGTGGATGATGGCGGTGCAGAAGAAATTGAAGCCCTTCATAAAAATAATACATGGGACCTTGTGCCACTACCACAAGGAAGGAAGCTAATTGGTAACAAATGGGTCTTCAAAATCAAGGAAAATGGTGACGATCAAGTTGAGAGATATCGTGCAAGACTGGTGGTCAAAGGATATGCTCAAAAAGAAGATATTGATTTCAATGAAATATTTTCTCCTGTGGTTCGACTAACAACAGTTCGAGTAGTTTTGGCAATGTGTGCTACATTGAATTTACATCTAGAGCAGCTAGATGTTAAAACAACTTTTTTTCATGGAAATCTTGAAGAAGAGATTTACATGCTCCAGCCTGAAGGTTTTGAAGAAAAAGAAAAGAATAACTTGGTTTGCAGGTTGAACGAATCTTTGTACGGTCTAAAGCGGGCGCCGATGTGTTGATATAAGAGATTTGATTCCTTCATTATGTGCCTTGGATACAA